TTCCGGGCCGTTGGATTGCGCAGTTTCGTGCTAGACATGGTGCACAGGTGCTCACTGACCCCGCAGGCTTGGTGTGATCCATGTTGACTCCGGCCAAAAAGTAAACTCGTCTTGTTTAGAGGGGGTTGGGGCCCCCTTCAAAGGTGCTGAACCCCCACTAAACCGGGGGACAACCCCCATTAATCAACCAGGGGTTATACTTAGATTTTGGTTTCCATTACACAACCCTCAAACAAGCCCGGTGACACCCCTCATTACTAAGATGGGCTGGATTAGTCCGGGGTTCCCATGAACAACCTCTTCGACCTTTACCCTCCTATGGAACCCGACCCCAGGCCCCCCGGAGGCAGTGCTCGGACCTTGGAAAGGTTTGCATAACCTGAGGCCTAAGCCCCCCACCCCCACCCAACAAAAACAAGAGGCAAACAGAATGGCTGCATCACGAATGATGGCTTAGGAACATTTTTGCGTTGCCACGTGTTTGTGCCCCTTTGGACCTTGTTTTCCCATCGCAAGAGTAACGTGCCCTTGGGTTGCTGTTCGCGGAATCAGATTAAATCATGCGCAGGAAGGGTACCTTCACGTCTTCCCGCAATGGGCGCCGGCCTTGGTCCGAAGAGATCCACAGGGGCTGAACTCCACTGTTCTTTCTGTGATGTTCGCACTTCCCTCAGCAAACAGGAGGACACTGAGAGGGCACCTGTTAGATGATGATGGTGCGGAAGGGGCCATGTCGACCCCTTGTCAGGTAGTATCCATGTGCTTTTCTTTAAGTCAACGGTACGCCTGGTATACCCGGTATATAGTTAAGTATACCCAAGGAAGGTATCATTAACGCAAGCGCAACCTTTGCTTCAAATGCCTTTTGCGGCATTCTGTAGCTTGGGCTTCTATGGTAGGGACACCATTTCCCGCAGCGCTTACGTGATGCATCTCCCATGGCCACTGAATCTGGCTGCTAAGCAGCCCATGAGCTATTCCTGTCCCAAACGGAAACCACAGCTCGGATCTGGAAGTTCCCCATCGGAATTTCGTCATGGCCCCAAAAGGTATTAACCCTGAAAGGCCACTCTCTTTCAAAGAAACCAGCCACCGGAAATTCCACGGAAGATTGGCGAACTACCCACCCCCCCCCCAAAAAAAAAACAAAAAACGGATTTCCCGTAGATGTTTTTGCCTGTGCTTGCAGTCTATGACCTTTTTGTGCTGGATGGGCGGAAGGTGCAGCACCTGGTGTGGCCCTTTCGGGGCCCTGCCACTGCGGAGCGCCGCACTCTCGCCGCCAACGTGGCGCGGCCTGGGCCTCGGGGCCTCGGGGGGGGCTTGGCGGCCTCCGCCTCTGGGGCCTTCGGAGGGTGCCCTTCTTGGCTTAAAGGGAACCAAGCGGAAGTTGAACACTGTTTTGGGACACCCCCCTCCAAAGGAGCCCTGGTTGGGTCAAAGTGGATGTCACAAGCTCCAGATTTCCGGTTTGTCATCTTTGCTTACCCAACCTCCTTTCACTCTGGCGTAGCTTGTTCGTTGGGAATGAGCCGAAGCCCTGAGACCAACCATGCTTCAGAGAAATGGCCCAAGCGGTTTATTCCGACCATCTGGCATTCTCTGAGAATTTGCAAGGTTGAGGCATCAAGTCAAGTGGGCGCCCAAGTGGACCTGGCCACCCGCATGGGTTTTGAGCACAAGCGGTCCTCCCCCCCTCCCAGCAGACCTGGGGATTGCTTGTGCCTGAGCATTTGGCTTGTGGGATGATCGCTGCCAGGACAGCTGCCTGGTTTGCTGATAAATCTTCAGGAAATTCCAGTGGAGCTTGGTGAGTTTCAGTTGCTTGAGGCTACCTCTTGGGGTGTGGCCGCCGCCCCCTCGGCGCATTTCATTTGGGGTGCCCCACTCGGCTCCGGAGGCTTCCCGTGGGCATGCGGCATTGAGGCAAGGGCATCCGTGCGGGGGAGGGACCTGCGGCCAGGGTTCTACTTTTGGGTTACCCCAAGGTAGACTGAAATTCGTTTGGTGGTTCCCCAGGAGAATTCCTGGGTTTTGCTGTCCTCTTTGGGGCAGCCCGAAGAAGTGGAACCCTGCGCGGCAAATAAAGGAACTTCCATTGGCGGCCAAGTAAAATTGATTGGCTTCATAACAAACACCGCGGCTCCAGACGAAACCCTAGAGGCGGCTCCCACAGTTCTCATCAGGCCTTGCTGGGCCGGCATTGGAATGCGTGAGGCGCTGTGCAAGCCCCCTTGGCCCCTTGACCATACCAACTGGTGCAACATGGCTGTGGCTGAAAGAATGGTTCCCAACATGGCGCCTCGGTATCTGGAAACAAAAACAAAAACCAGCCAGCTGTTTAAGCTTGAGCCATACTTATATGGGCGTGGGTCAAAATTAAACCACCAGGGGACCGCAGGCTTTAGTCATTGTTTCAATTTACCAGGGTTCCATCTAGGGTACCTATGTTTGACCCACACCCATCTTTTCTCCACACAAACCCGTTTCGCTTCCGCGAAACGGCCCGGGCGATGTCCTGCCTTGGCTTATGAACCTGGAGCTCACGCCTCTCGAGGCCAATTTGACCTTTTCATCTTTTGGGTTTTCCCTTGGTCCGAAAGCACCAACAGGCTTTCCCTTGGTTCCCTTTTTGGTTTTCCCTTGGTCCCTTTGGTTTTCCCTTCTGGTTCCTTTAGGAAAGGTACCAAAAGGTGATCACCTTTGAATTGCAGGGCCTTTGTACAACTGAATCACTAGCAAGCTCACTGGACGACCCTCTCGGCTTTCGAACGGTTGCAGTTGTGTTGGCAAGTGGCCTGGACTCATGCGGGACTCGTCCCTGCATGGCGTGTGAGGCCTCCAAGACTTGCACTTATTGGCTCCCCTCTGAGTTCCATGGCCCTTGCCATGCTCAGGCAATGGATCTGTGTGGTCTTCTATCTTTCGTGGCTTCCTTGTCAACCATTGGCCAGCGACACCAGCCCCGTGTGTCGCTTTGTTGCGCGGTGGTCCCTCGGTCTGCTTCAGATTGGAGGTAGGTGTCCCACCGGTACCTGAAAGCGGCTCAATGAGACTCATCATAGAACATGTATCATAGAACTGGTTCTTTCTGCAATATCGTGTCTGTCACCTTTTGATATTCTGATCCCGTTTTGGGACTACCCAGGGCCACGTGGTCAATCACCTAAATCAGTTGCCGCCCTTTGCTCATGATGTGTTCTCTTGCATCCTTGTTCTGGACGCCGGCTACCAAACATAGTTGTGAGGTTTTGGCAGGATAACGACTTCTGCCATGGGCATAAGTCCTACCAGGTCCACCCTTCCACCCACTAACGTGAAACACACCAGAAGGCTCCTGTAGGAAGAACATCGTCTTCAAGTCTTTCAAAATGGTCTTCTCAGGTGTTCCCTCAGATTACAGATGGGTAAACTTGTTTTCTTTCCTAAAGAAGGACTGTCTAGATGTGGGAAGTGGTCCCCTACATTGGTTCTCGTTTATTGGTGTTGTTGCATCCCTTTATATCATACCAGCCAAAAGGGGTCCACCATCTGGGCATGCCCTTGAAAAGCACCCCTTTTGTAGTGGTTTCAAAGGGAAACCAACATGAAATTTTCATGTTTTGGGGGTCAACCTGCCAAAACATGGGCCACCATTTTGAGAAGCACAGAAACTCGGCGCCCGCGTCTTAGCTTCGGGGCCCTTTTGCCAGGTGCTCGAGAATGAGCGGACTTCGCGAAACGGGCCTCTGCCTGGCGCGGGAAAATTAATACTTCGAAGCGCTCGCGGGTCGCCAACTTCCCCGTTTTTTGGGATTGCCATGCTTAAGCGGGATCTGATATTTAATATATATCTATATATATATATATATCAGTTTTCTTTCAAGGTCTGCTAAAGTTGAGCAGTTATTCTCACGTTTTTTGTATCGGGGAGCAAGCTGAGGTAATTGCCATTGAGGGAACCCGCAAGGAAGTCCTCCAAAAGATACTCCTGAGGAAACCAAGTTTCACCCAATATGCTTGTTTGCCCCGCGGCCAGCTTGGGCCATGCATGGCGGTGTTTTTTCTGCCACTGTGAAATGGGACAGTCCGCCAAAGCAGCGCTGGCTGGGGCCCCTGGCATCAAGTACCCACTATGTTTACTTCTTTTTTTTCTGGGGCGTGGTTTGGCCCAGTACGTGCTTGGGCCCGTACTGGCTGTTGAGTGCCATTTTGGAGGTGGATCTTGCTTGCCGATGTTCAGCGAGCTTCTGTCTCGTGATGTTTGAAGGGGCATGGGTTGATCTTCCGTAAGCGGAGGATGAGTAAAGCCCTTGATACGGGTGGCATCCCCAGGCGAAAGTCCAGGATCTGAGACGCAGCATCCTCGAACTCCGCTTTTTGCGATCCGGATCGCATCGAAAGTGTTTTGTTTTTTCCCTCCAAAAGTGGCGATTGAAAGGGACACCACCAGCAACTTGATGAACCGTAGGGAAATACAGCGACCCCTGACTAAAAGTGCTCAACTCCAAACAGAACTGGTTTCCTTTTTTCACCAGGGTCACTGGCCATTCTTCCGCGACAAAGCGAGGGAGTTAGCCAAGTTACCCCCAAGTTCACCTCCATTGTAAAATGCTTGCTTCTATTCTCCGCAATATGGTCTATGTGTTTACTCCCAACTAGAGTATTCCGTGCAACTAGGGTTTGTAATCACCCAGGGAAGGGTTTTGAGACGAGACATGTTGTGGGACACCGGGTTGCAGGAGGCGCGTGTTCTTTGCTCCTGGTTATGGTAAGTGGGCAGCCGACCTACAAACAGTGCGGCAAAAACCGGGGGGGGGGGGGCACAGCACGCAAGGCCTACGAGTTGGACCCACCCTTAGAATCCAGCTACAGTCGAAAGGAAAGTAGGCAAAACCCCTTTTTTGTTTTTTGGGAGCTTGGCTTAAAAAACCAATTACTTTCAGTGGCTGGTGTCACTGGGACGTGTCCCCGCGCAAAGTGAAGTTGCAGCTTTCCACAAACCCAGCGTGCGTGCCGCGTCAAGCGATGGGCCCAAGCCTGCATTTGCCCCCTTTGGGGCATTGCATGGCATGACGCAGGCGTGGATTCTCTCGGACCGGGCGGGGAATGTCGGGCTTTCTTTACAGTTGTCATCCTATCCTTTCCCCCTTATACAGGGACGGGGCCTGGTCCAAATCCATGGGAGGGCCGTTGTATACAATTACCATTTGTTTCCCTTGGCACGAATTTCCGGGTGGGTTCAACCAATGGGTGCGGAGGTTAGGTGTTGTTGTGGGTTAAAACCACCCCCCCCTCCCCGTAGCGACAAGGGAATGGTGTCTACTGTTACAACCCTGGGGTACCTGCCAAATGGCAAGCTTGTTTGAACGTTTCGTATTATTTCAATCATACCCCCCGCCCCATACATAGCTACAAGGGAATGGTGTCTACTTAAAAAAAAAGGCTTTGGGACTCCAGGCCTGTGCCGTTGCACGATGCTAGCAGCATCCCTCCTGTCTCTTTGGCCAGCTGGGTGAACTTGGCCAGTTGCATGAAAAAGCCAAGGCGACCAAGAAGTTGAGCCACTCCTTGCCGTCATCCCCAAAATCAGGTTCAAATTGCAATCTGCCTCCCCCCCGAGAAAAAAAAAAAAAAAACGGAATAAACACGCTCATAGTTGACAAGGCTGAAGAAATAGGCTCAGCTTATGCAAACACGCATTTTGCGGATCCTCGGGCATCAAAAAGCGCCCTTTGTACAGGTTTGCCATGGGTTTTGGCTGAGCTTTGAAGATCCAATGCGCCTTTGCCCTCCATCTTGGTGCCAGACTGCCCAGAAATCAGCTATGAAAGGCGCGCATTTTGGTTATGGCAGTAGGGACACCCAAAGTTAGTGGTTTTCCTTGTTGCTTCCCTCTAAGCCAGCCCAAAATATCGGGTGTAAAGGGACCGTGCGCGTGTTCATTTTGGTGACGGGCGGTTTAACCCTACTCCAAGCCACATGTGGCTCAGACTCAGGGTGGGTGTTCCCGCACCTGAAGCGTCCCTTAACTGAACCTCTTCTTGAGAACCACAGGCGGCTTGGCTTGGCTTCCTGGGCAAATGGGGTGGCTTCAGAAGCCTATTGCCAAGCCTGCGCAATGGCCCGCGGTGTCGTGTGGCACGCGTTCAGGGCCGAAAGGCCAAACCGGACACGATGCGCCTTCCTTGGAGCATTTTGGAAATTTTGACGGCTTGCTTGCAACTTTTGGGCGGGCATCCTGGTGCGCAGAAGGCCCGGTTCGCCGTTCCCACCGATCCCAGAAGTGAGCATTCCAGACAGGAGAGGAGACATGCCTCTACCGATCCAGGCCAGTTTTAGAAGCCTTCAATCAGCATGTTGCTTTGTTGGTGGGGCCTTGGTTTCCGACCATCCGGAAGGAGCTCTGTCCCGTTTCATCACCGGCTTTCCTTTGAAACACGGCTCCCCCAAGTTTTTGTTTTTTTTTTTGGGTGGTTGCGGCTTCCTCAAGCTGCGGACAAGTTTGAAGCTAAACCAAAGGAGAAACCCACCATGTCACGGCAAAGCCCGGCGCAGGGCAATGATCCAGAGGCGCCACCAGAGGCGACGCTTGCTACTTGCCGGGAGTTGGTTGCACCCTTTCGTGTCCCTTTGGTTTTCCCTTGATTTTGGGTTTTCCTTTGGTTTCTGCTTGCTTTCCTTTGGTGTCTGCGTGCTTTCCTTTCCAGAGCCCACGAATGGACCGGAAATGGTACCTTTTTGGTTCCCTTAAGCCCTCTCAGTCAGACAGATTTTTGAAGGGTTTTGTGACTGAAAGGCGAAGGAATTCCCTGAAGCAAGCTAGCACAGGATAGTTCATACCCGCTGAAGACCAGCAAAAACGTAGTTTTGCACTGGAATGCCCAGCTTTTGCCTTCCTTCCAATTTTTGGAGGCCATGTGAGCCATGTGAGGTCCAGCCGCGCCAAAGTTCTTTCGGGGTCCTGCAAGGAGTTTCCTTTTCGGGCGTTTTGGATGCCAGTTGCTGGGTGCCAATGTTGGTTGACTTCCCTTTGATGAGGTGATGCTCACGACATGCAAAGAATCTGAACTTCAGTTTCAAGCATGTTTTGTGTGAACAACCGGCAACCTTTATATGTACTTGTTGTTGGCTCCTGAGGTCTAGGAAGGGGTAAGGGGGTCCGCTTTGTATTGAGAGCATGTTCTTCCCCCCGCTTCAGCCAAGTTGGGGCTCCGCGTTCCGTGGGCCATGCGAAGGGATGGCCCTCGCCTCTCGGAAGGTCTGAGCTATCAACTGGAATCCCCCGCCAGTCGCCCGCCTGAGTATGGAATCGGCAACGCCCAACACCCCCCATTGGGCCCCCCATCCCTCACCAGAGTCCTTGGGCAAGTTGGGCGCAGGCGAATGTGACGGAACCCAGCACGCAGCCCGAGGCAGCAGAGGCTGGTGAGCTCTTGGTTGATAACCTTTGGTTGGTTTTCTTGATGGGGTGTCCCCAATTAACAGGGCATCCTTTACTAGAGAAAAACACTACTCAAGTAACTTACAAATTCGGCGGAAGAGGCCCCGACCTAATTTGGTCTTTCAAAGTCTTTGGGCAACGGCAAGGCAACCCTCGAAAAGTTTAAACTTCTAGTTTCCCATTCAGTTTGAGGGATCGTGTTGGAATTGGGGTGCTGCAAGGGGAATGGAATCTGGCTGTATCTCAACATGATGCACTCCTTCAGTTCCCTTAGTTCCCTCCCCTGGAGACTAACATGGACCTCCCAGAAAGCTATCATTTCTTGGGGAGGGAGCGCTTTTGGGCCCCTCTTAGTGTGCAGGTGAGTGGATTGTTATCGGAGCAGACCCTTGGATTAGGCAACCTGGCTGGAGTGCGAAGCTTCCGCAAAGGACAAGTCCTAAGTGGCCCCAAAAAATGCCGCCTAGGGGTGCTGGCGTGCACCGCAGCAGGGACCCTTTGGTGGGATCCATGTTGGGTGGGAGAGAGTGGAGGTTCCTTCGCAACAATCCAAAAAGGGCGCCCTGATTTACAGATGTTCCATGGGAGAACCATACTTGCTGAGATGGTCATCAATTTTAGACGACCCATCTACAGATTCCCTCAAAGGGAACCGTGGCCATGTCCCACCCAAGACGTTTGACCGCGGCATCTCTGTCACTGAAGCTGTTTCGGCCCAAGTTCTGCCCCGGCCAGGAGGCCATGGGCACAAACAAAAGTAGTACTGACACTCGTCCAATGCGTACAAACCAAAGGCAATGAGTTTAAGACACGCATACACACAAACAAAAGCACGGCTGCTGGTGAAGCCATTGACTCCGAGTTGTTTTCTTCTTTTTTTTTCTGGAAAGGTGGGCGTTGGTGGTTGATCTTTTCCGCGCCTCGGGGCTTCGTGGGTCCCGAGTTCGACTGGGACAGGCCCGGAGGTCGGCCTTGGAGTGTCTCTCTCCTAAGGGGAGCCTCAGTGGCAGGTAGCGGGAGTGGGTGGGTGTCGAAAGCACCAAGAACTGCGCTAGCCGAACAGAAAACATCCAACCACGCATCGATCTGACAAGAAACCAGGTTTACCGGCATCGTTTCCTGTATGCATTTGTGGAGGTTTCATTTTTGGCTGGTTCCCTTCTTTTTGCAACCCAAAAACAGCTGGTGTTGCCCTTTTTGCACGCTGTTAGTTGGGTTTCTCTTTGGTTTAGAGACCTCCGCTCCATTTGAAGTTCGGTCAAAATGTCCTTTAGTCTATGCTCAATTTGGCGGGTGCGTGGGGCACGCCGTCAATTTCCCACGAGGGCCAAACCACTTTCTTATTTACACATCCTCATGGACAATGGACACGAGTCATCCCGGAAATGGCTGATGTTTTCTACAATGCACTGCTGGTCAAGTCCCTACTTTAGGTGGGTGATTGGCCAAACGTCCAGTATGATTGCCTGTAGCTGGTGAGGGTGTCTCTAAATCTTGGTGCATCTTTTTTAGGAGCCTTTTGATTGGGACAGGCAAATCGAAAGGATCTTGGCCCGTGGCCATTTTGTTTGTGGGGTGGCGGGGAGTTTTTTGCAACGGCTGGGGTTTTTGGTATGTCGAGTCATACCTGAGCTTTCAGGTTTGAAGCCCTGGTTCTTGTAGAGGGTAAATGGGAACCCCGCCCCAAACCACGAATTAGAGGGAAGTTGATAAGGTCTAAAATGGTTGGCGTCCTTTTAGTTCTCAAGTGGCAAACAAGAATCCGAGATGCCCAACTTTTGAACAACTGCAATTTATGTCTTCACTCTCTGGTTGAGTGTAGCCACCTTTGGGTGTGTTTTTTGAAAGGGACTTCTTTCCAGGGATCCTTCTTTCTAGAAAGCCACCAAAAAACCCGGGGAAATGGCGGGTTTCATGACAGAACGATGGCTGAAAAGAATGGAAGAGGAATCAGCCCCTATTTTTGGTGGGCCTTGTCAAGGTTCTCAAAATTGGGAGGGGGATCTTGTTGCTTTCCTTGGGTTCTCAACATTGGGCACCCTCAAGGGGGTTTCCTTTTGGTTTTCTTTTGACACCATCCACAAAGGGGCCGATTGCTCGGTTTGCTTCTCGCTTTTTTGTGAGGAGCGGATGCGCCATGGCGGACGCGGAGCTGGCGCGCCTGGGCACGCTGCTGGAGCTAGCGGAGCAAGTGGAGCGTGCGGAGCGCCGGACGCGGCGGGTGTCCATGGCGGCCGAGGCGGGGGGATTTGGCGGGGGCGATGCACCAAAATGGGTCTGTCGGAATGTTTGGAGGGCACCAGTTTTTTTTTTCTTTTTTTTGTGTGTGTGTGTGTTCCTAAAGGGGGGCCAACAGACAAAAAGAAACAAGCACTATAGGGATGGGGGTTAGTTAGTTGTTTTTGGAGGGTACCAGTTGTTTTTGTTGTGGTTGCACGTTGTTTTCGAGGGACACTTAACAGAAAAACCACCACTTAGCAGAACAATCATGGCCAATTTGGCGGGGGGGGGTCCCCTGAGAAGACATGTTTCTGGGTAAAGGCCGGCGAGCATCTTAATCTTCACCCTGGAAAAAAAAGCCCCTGGTTGATTCTGATGGGGGGAATGGAAATCCCCACTTTTGTGGGTGGCCCTCTTGCCTATGAGTAGGACGTGTTCCACATTCCGGGGTTCCCGCAAGACTTTTTCCTTTGCTAGAATCCAGATGCGACAATGAAGGATCTACATGCTAGACTTAGGGGTGAGCATGAAACTAGCAAAACAAACAGTTCCAGCTTACCTTGAAACAAAAGTTGTTAAAACCTTTGTGGCCATTGCCTGCTCCAACTAAAAGCTAAAAGTTAAAGATCCGCCCAATTAATAATGTGTCTTAAAGCAGGGGGCCGCCCATTGTGGTGGGTGTTTCCCTTGCTTCTGTTTGAAACCAGCCCAGAAAGAGACCGTCAAAACAACCACGCAGAGACGCCCACACACACCCACACACAAGGCCACTTTCGATGGCACAATCCCCCCATCATTTTCAACCAAGCACAATCACAACTTGAAACAAGGTGGGTTAAAGATCCAAATGCTTGCCCAAAGCGAATCCGCCTGTTCACCTTTTTCCTTCCTGGACTTCAAGCGTTTTGGCTGGTAAATATTATAATGTTTCGTTACGTTTTTCTGACCAACCCACTCGATCGGAAGTGAGTTGAGTCAGTTGAGTCAGTTGAGTCAGTTGAGTCAGTTGAGTTTCCCCTTTTTGGCCAATGGTGGCCCCAAAAGGGTAGACGTTGGGTCCTTTGGTCATCTGAGAGCAGCCCAGAGCCCGAAGTTTTTGAGGTCCAGCGGCCTAGGAGCGGTCGGGGCGGTTGGAGGTCGGGTTGAACCTGGATGCAGGTGGTGGAAAATCATAATCCATCCAACTTGATCTTGAAACTGCGTTGCGCAGAATGATCGCATTTCAGTGAGGTAAAAAGTGATTGCCAACTTGCAGATCTCATCCTTACCTTGCGAAAAGGGTCCTCTTTGCAATGATGTCCCCCCCAATGTGGGTTTTGGATGTTGATTGGTAACTCCTCCACTCTGATCAACCCAATTTACCGCGTTGGGATGGTTTGCCTTGAAACCACCACTTCATTTCTGGGTTATATTGAAGATAGCCCAGTTGATCAAGCGAAATGGGGAGCGCCAGGGAAACAATTCGTGTAGCTCTGGCAACCTTCGAAGATAACTGGACATACATCCCACCCGTCAATTCCGCCAAAGGGTCCCGAATTGAAATTCCTACCCCCTGAAGCATCGAAGGCATCACCAAACCCAACAAGCGCCGCCCCGTGCTGCAAATAAAAGACTAGATTTGCGTGCCTCCCACAGGAAGCAGACAAGCGCTATATAGTGTGCTTCTCCAAGGGCAAACCTGTAAGTACACCCCAAAGCCATACCCCTGAAGAGAAGCCTTGGAAAAATCGGAGAAGCTTAGGGACATGCACTTGCCTTAGCCATAGCCAGCCTGAGTTCATGCTGCTGGGTAGGTTCCTTCAGTTGGCACAGGCCCAACCAGATTTATATATTGATTTCTCTTTTAGGGCTTTCGGGCTGCCGTTTGACATTTTTTCTTGCTAGTGTCCTGGAAGAATTGGTCGCTCATGTTCTTTTGCTTGGGCAGCGTTATCTGCATATGAAGTAGCCAACTTGTTGCATGCCCAGATGTGCAGAAGTGAATTTGAGGCGGACAAGAGGGTTTGTAGAAGGTGACAAAAAGTTGTTGTAAGTGCCAAGATAGCTTGAGTCAAAAAGGTTTGAGAAACCTATCATGCAGGGGGAAGGGGTGTTTTGGGGGGTGAACGTGACGCTTGAGAATTTAAATTTCCAAGATGTACAGAGAAAGGGAATCGGAATGATGGACAAGTCCTTCCATTCCCTTGGTATCCCTCACCACAAATTTGGTCTAAAGTGTTTGTGTTTCTTGTTTGGTTTCTGTATTTGAATTTTCTATCACTGCCAACTAGTCATCCCTTCCCATTTCCTTTCTGGGATTTTGGAACTTTTTAAGTGATCCAACTCTTTCATGCCATCGCGTGCAAGCGGTGCGCCACGGGGCGTCCTTTTCCAAGTCTAAACATGACCCTCGCCCCCAGATATCTGAGCCACTATCAGCACCCGGCCAGAACACGCCCATGCCATGAACAGGTGCCCTTTTATTCTTCACTCCCTTCCAAGCTTTTGGACTTAATTTCGCATCTTTTCGGGAAGGCCGAGGCAATTTGTCTAGGAGCACTGGAGTGAGTTCACCAGGATGATTGAGTGTGACTTGCATGCCAGGCACCAAGCACCAGGCTAGCACGTCAATGAATAATATCCCGCACTTTTGTTGGCCAGTGTTTAGTTCTTGCTTTTTTGTTGTTGGTTCTGTTCATCTTTAGTTGGGGGCTGCAAAAAGCAAAGCTTGTTTTTCTCATACAAGGGTAAATTATCATTAGGCTCCATGAATCTCCATTG